ATTATGAGCAAAGCTAGTGGTAGTCACAACGGTCAAGTGAGGAGGAGGAGAGAGAGTGAGAGGAGAGGAGATAGGAGGCGACGGATGAAGCTGCAGACACACGGGCAACAGGAGGCGCACTGGCACAGCGGCTACCGGAACAACGCTCCGGAATACTGGAGTAACTGGCCCCGCGGCTAAAGTAGCGGCAGACGAGCAACGGACCCACGGGCGGCTGGCAGAGCTGGCTACGACTGGGCTACCGGACGAAGTCCCCGGAATACAGGTGCTGCTGGCGACACGACAGCAACCTCGATTCATTTTCCCCAAACTATCCCACTTCCTCTGGCACACACCCACTGCTACACCGCTAGCTCCACTCCCCCTTCACCCCCCCTTAGTACCACTCCACCGGCTCCAACACGTCCACCCCCCATCAGTGACAGCTGCAGCACAGGGAGACGGGGGGGGGGGGGCGGTGCACTTGCCGTAGGTAGGGCGATGGGGCCAGGCCGTAGGTAGGGCGACGGGGCCGGTACGCAGGTAGGGCGACGGGGCCGGGGTCGGAGGTGGGGCGACGGGGCCGGGGTCGCAGGTAGGGCGACGGGGCCGGGGCCGGGGCACAGGTAGGGCGACGGGGTGCGACGCGCGGGTCCCCGTCGCCCGTCGCAGCGCCTCCCGGGGGCGACGCGCCGAGTGACGGGGAGCGACGCGCGGGTCCCCGTCGCCCGTCGCAGCGCCTCCCGGGGGCGACACGAACCCGTCGCGCGCCTCGGGGCGCACGGCGGGCAGAAAACCGCCGCGCGCCTCAGGGCGCACGGCGGGCAGAAAAAACTGCCGCACGCCACGGGGCGTGCGGCACAGAGAGTAGCAGTGGCAGTTGCAGCGGAAGCAACGAGGTGGTGAGCCCACCCACAGGATCGATCCAAGGGGATCGACCTGCTCTGATAGCATGTTAAAGCTAGAAGAGAGAAGAGGACTGCACTAGCAAGAATGGGGATACAAATAGGAAACCCTAGAAGGGTTGTACTCGCTATAGAGCACCCCACTACAGGCTAGAGCATAAGATAACATTCTGACACAGCCGAGTGATTTCAAGAAACTGCTGGCAGCGGTACCGCCCGAACTACAGGAACTGTTGAAACGATACCCCGGGATTTTTCCCGACGACTTACCGAAAGGTTTGCCACCTCAGCGAGCACATGACCACCAAATAGAATTAGAACCGGGGGCACAGCCAACTGTACAGCGCCAGTTCAGACTGACACAACCCGAGCTTGACGAACTAAGGAAGCAGTTAGATTACTTGTTAGAGAAGAAATTCATCCGACCGAGCTCGTCACCGTTCGCCGCACCGATACTGTTCACGCCAAAAAGATTCGGAGGGTTTCGCATGTGCATCGATTACCGAGCGCTCAACAGGGTAACAGTCAAGTCGCGGTACCCCATTCCCCGCGCCGACGAACTGATCGACCAACTGCGAACAGCACGGGTTTTTTCGAAAATAGATTTACGGGGAGGTTACCATCAGATTAGGGTCGAACCATCGGACTGCGCCAAAACAGCTTTCCGGACTAGATACGGGTCATTCGAGTACACCGTGATGCCTTTCGAGCTGACCAACGCACCAGCAACATTTCAAATGTCCATGAACGAGGCGTTTAGGCCACTCTTAGATAAATTCGTGATAGTTTACCTCGACGACATCCTCGTCTAAAATCGCGACAAGCAGCAGCACTTAGCAGATCTGGAAGCAGTATTTAAGATTTCAGACGAGCATCGGCTACTGACAAAGGGTTCCAAGTGCGAGTTCTTTCAGGACAGGTTAGAGTTTTTGGGGCACATTATATCGGAGGCCGGGGTCGAAATTGACCCAAAAAGGTTAGACACGGTGAAAGCCTGACACCCCCCGACGAACATCACGAAACTGCAGAGCTTTTTGGGGTTCGTCAACTATGTGCGTTGATTCGTCCCCGACATGGCACGGTTAACAGCGCTGCTGACGGACTTACTACGGAAGGGGGTCGTTTTTACGTGGGGGGAGAAAGAGCATGCTGCCTTCTCTGCCCTGAAAAATATTCTTTGTTCACCGCCCGTCCTGCGCATCGCTGACCCACACCGCCCATTCGAAGTAGTTACCGACACAAGCGTCATCGCCATCGGAGCCGTACTGCTACAGGATTTCGGCAACGGCCTTCAGCCCATCGCATACGAGTCACAAAAACTGCATCCGCCCGAGAAAAATTACCCAATACACGACCGCGAAATGCTTGCGATCGTACATGTGTTCAAAGTGTGGTGCTGTTACCTGACCGGCGCGGACGTGACAGTACGGACAGACCATAAATCACTATAGTACCTTCGCGCACAGCCACACCTCAACCTACGACAGATTCGCTGGCTCGATTTCCTCGAGTCCAATTTTCACTACACGGTCACCTACAAAAAAGGAGCCTCGAACGTCGCCGACGCACTGACCCGCCCCACTGCAAAGATCCACGCAATACTACTCGCCCAGACCAGCCCCCTACCGACAGACCTATTTACCCACGGGTACCAAACGGATCCATTCTTCACAGGAGGCAATTCGCAGCAGTTCGCAGCAGCAAGGGGAGTCTTACGTAAAAGCCGGGACCGACCGCATCTGGGTGCCCGGGTACACACTGCTACGGGAATTACTGTTACAGGAGGCACACGACGGAGTTACTTCGACACATTTCGGGGTAGAAAAAACATGGCAGCAGCTGCAGCGGTATTATTACTGGCCCGAGATGTTGACAGAAGTACAACGACACGTGGCATCGTGTCCCACCTGCCAAGTGATGAAATCATCACGAAAGCGGCCGGCAAGACAGTTGCAGCCGATACCACCCCCAGAGCGTGCTTGAGAGCAGGTGACGATGGACTTCGTCACGGGGTTACCGGCCGGGGCAAGTGGGAACGACGCGATCCTGGTCGTCGTCGATCGACTGACAAAAATGGCACATTTCGCAGCCTGCAAGAAATCGATCACAGCCGAAGAAACAGCCCGCCTCTTCATCGCCACCGTCGTACGCCTGCATGGGATACCAGCAGCGATCATCAGCGACAGAGACACGAAATTCACCAGCAACTTCTGGCGGAACCTGTGGCAGCAGTTTGGCACGCGACTAGAGTTCAGCTCTTCGTACCACCCCGAAACCGACGGACAGACAGAACGGACAAATCAGACCATGGAACAACTCATCCGAGCCACGTGCAATGACCCGACCACCTGGGAACAGCAACTGCCACTCATCGAGTTCGCGTACAACAATTCACCTTCCGCCACGACCCAACAGTCACCGTTTTACCTGAACTACGGACAAGACCCGACAGTACCCATGACCCGGAGTCCCGACAACCCAGTGCCACGAGCACAACAGTTCGCCGAAATTTTACAGGCAGCACGGACCCGGGCAGCCGACGCAATAAAAAAATCCAACATCATCGCTAAACGTAATGCCGATCGCCACCGCAGACCTGTCACTTACCAGCTCGACGACCTAGTTTTACTTGACACACAGAACCTTCGCCTGCCCATCACCCCAAAACTCCGCCCCCGATACTGTGGACCATTTCGCATCAGCCACATGATCACATCCGTCACCGCCCACCTCCTCCTCCCCTCTGACTGGTACGTCAGCCCCTCATTCCACGTCAGCCTGCTTCGCCCCTACGTCCCGTCCACAAGCCAACTCCTACGCAATCGCCCAGCCAGCATGACACGACCGCCGACTGAACCAATCATCACCCCCGAGAAGATTCTGAGTCACAGAGTTCGCGACCATCGAGGAGCCCGAAGGATCGAGTTCCTGATCCGCTGGAAAGATCGTACACCCACCGAAGACAACTGGGTTCCCCTGGATAGAATCGAAAACCACCCCGTCCTCACCGAGTATCTGCGCAGCCGAAACTTCAGGGATGTATACGCACTTTCGTAAGGAGGACCTCCTTAGGGGGGGGGGGTAGTGTAAGGAAAAATCCTTTTCCTTATTTCGCGTCCCCGCTCAGCGCGTACACCACTGTAGCACCACAGTCAGCACCGTTACCACTCGCAACTCTCGCATCGACAATCCTCCCGCCACCTTTGCACATCGCACCCCAACCTCACGGCTCGGCGGGTAACCCGCGCTCCGGGCCTCCGCTTCGACACTTTCCCAAACCTCAGTCCCAGGCCCGTCGCGCGACAACCACAGTCCATTACCGTTACCACTGTAGTTTTGCTATATATTCTTCGCTCACGCCTTCGCTCATTGTACTCTTTCTTCGATAGTGCAATTCTCTCTCACTCAATTGCACTCCTTAGCTATATATTCTTCGCTCACGCCTTCGCTAATAGTAGGTCCATATTCACCACACTGCAGGCGTTGGTATCTAGCTGAAACAACCTGAAGCGCTGCTGTTTTCTAGTTCCTCGTTTGAGTTTGCACGTGCCAATGCAACATCAGCTGCCCATGTGTGAATTCCATTTTGCCTGGAAGCCCGTCCTGGGTGTTCCACGCTGGCGGGAGATTTCTTCACTTCACGCTCCCAGATTTGTGATACAATTGCCTAGATGACACCCATCCTGTCCCGCTCCTACACTACTTACATTCGTCCCCAGATTCCAACATGACACATGCAGAGTGAAGAAGTACGTTTGCTCGCAAACGTCTCATCCAGTTTTGGTAGTCGTTCCTGTCATGGCTTCGGTAGCTCTTTCGGCCGCCTCGTCACAGTGCCTAACGTGCTCCTCGTGGGCTCGGAGCAACGTCAAAGTGAGCGGTCCTGGCACGAGGTTCTTGTCAGGGCGGAAGCTATCGCTGCCTCTGGCTAGGAAATGCGAAGCGGTCACCAGAAGAAGCCTTAGGCCTGTCGTTGCGGAGAAAGGATCTACGAGCGACTGTAAGCTTTCGCGTTACTGTGAATTCGTGTCCCTCCTTTTTTTCCGCCAAAATATGAAATTGGAATCACTGATGTAAAACGCATTTTTGTTTTCCCTGGACATTTCTTGGATACAGTGGTCAGCACGGCAGTGAAGATAGGCAACGATGGACTCGACGCAGCGACGAATCTCGTTCCTGTAAGTCCTCGAGAAGATGAACTAACAGCTTCGCGAATTAAAAATGTTTAAATGCCGAGTTTCCGCCTTCGTCAATGTATTTTACATCGCTGTCGCCACCCTCTCCTCAACCTATTACATGCAGGCCAGCATCCCTCGGCCAGTAGCTAAAGGTGGCGTCGCGCTTCTTTCGCTCGCCATCCTCTTGTCACTCGTTCAGACCATCTTCAACACTTTCGTCAGCCTCCTTGTAAGTGCTCGTCCCTACCTCCGTCATTTTTTTTCTCTCACCATCAGATGTTTGAAACGTCCCGAAGTAGTTGCCCTTGGTTGATTCCGTTTTATTCGGTGGAAGGTAGGGAAGAGGAGAGGGATGAGTTGATGATTAGGAATAAAGGCTTGAGACGAGGAGTTTTGGGGATTTGAATACATGTTAATACTTATGAATGTGCATGGTTGTGCAGTTCCTCGGAGGCCTAGGATACTTGGCGTTCCAGTACCTCTCCAAGGATGGCAAGAGTTCTTCAGGAAGTTCAGGTGATGACCCCCTTGATGAGGCTCGCCGCATTTTGGATAAGTACAAGTGAGCTGTAGCTTAGTATTTCCACCAACGTGTGACAGGACCTGTTTCGTCAAGCATGATGAACGGAAAGCCGTTTTGTTTGTGAATATATGCGCGCCATGTTTCTTGTAATTTATTGCAGAATATGCACCACCTCAGTTCTGTGATTGAGTGCTAGGCTTGTGCATACCGCATATTTAACACTGCAAAGCGGCAAACGAATAGCGAAGATGCTCGAACCGAGCCATACATCAGGAATGTTTCTAGAAACTGTCGCTGCCGCGCCTTCCCTGACAAGCCTCGAAATTGCCGAATTTGCATGTTCTGGAATCCACCTGCAACCGAATCATCTCATCCATCGCCGCACATCGCACACTCCACGCTATCTTTAGTTTGCTCTCACCAGCTCCACACAGCATCACTGATACTACTCTTGGCAGCATCCAGAACCTTCAATCTGCGCTACTTACGTTGGTTTCTCTCATCAGAACCTTACTGTCGGAATCTTAGAGTGTCACAGCGATCTGGTAGCCCCAGTGTGCAGCCATGGACGCGCAGAAGATAGCAGAGCTCAAGGCCTTCGTGCAGCTCTGCCAGAAAACCCCCGCCATTCTCGCCGACCCGAAGCTCGAGTTCTTTCGTGATTATCTCGAAAGGTTGGTGAATTCCTGGGAGTCGTCGTGTAGAAACATCGTTATTCATCCCCGCGTCAATCGGTTCGTAACGACATCAGAAGTGGTTGGTATGAGCTATGAAGGCGAGGGAGGCTTCAGCTGGCAAGAGATTCAGCGATCCGTTTCGGAGAAAGAAAAGGCCGACCATGCGTTCAAACGAGGGATGTAGGATTGATTGGGGGTTACGATGATCTAGCCTTATGCCGACCGAGCTTGTTCTGAATCCGGCGCCGGTGTTCCTTCGGGAATAAATCTGGTTTTACCAGATTCGGATCCATCGAGTTTGGAGCAGGTTTTGTTCAGTACGCCGGATGTTCTTGATATTGATGTCATTTCTTTGGTAGCTATTTCGGGTTTAACCCGTCTATTGCACTCTTTCGTCTCGCCGTGAAGTCTCGTTTTCTTTCCAACATACTTTTCCGTCACACATGCCTATTGCCTTTTTCGTCACCCAACCCGTTCTCCCTCGTCCCTCTCCCGCATCCTTCATCCATCATTTCCCATTATTCTGCCGTCTCCCCTCGTCTCACTCGTCCACTGTTCATCTTCCCCCATCTCCCTCTCCTCATCTCACTCGTCTCTCGGCCAGTCTGAATGCGGAGGTGCCAGGGGAGGCGTACGGCCTGAAGACTGGCGCCGCACCCAAGGTACGCATGGCGTGGTTTTACTTCTGAGACGAATCAAGAAAAGGGGTTCAGAAAGGGGAAGGGGGTGGGGGATGGGGGGGGGGTGTGGTGGGGTGGGGGGTGATGGGCAGTACATCAGCGCAGCTCCCGCTGTATTAAGTAGCAAGTGATTCGCATTCACAATCCCAGCTGCATATCACACTTCCGCTTTGCTAAAAATACGTGATCTCATTTATTTTTTTATTCCATTTCGTGACAGGCGGAGGAGAAGGCGGAACCAAGCAAGATGGAATCCGAGGCGAGCAAGGTGGAGGAGCCAGAGGAGGAGGAAGAAGAGGAGGAAGAGGAGCCTGAAATCGTGGAATCTGACGTGGAGATAGACGAGGAGGGCGTGGTGGAGGGGGACAGCGACCCCCCGCAGCAGATGGGCGATGCGAGCAAGGAGGTGGGCGAGGAGCAGAGGGACGCCGCTCAGGCCGCCAAGGCCCAGGCCATGGAGGCCCTGGCTGAAGGTGCGTGGTTGGCGCTGTGTGGCCTTGCGGAGTGTGCCGTGTGTGCTGTGTGTGCTGTGCATCCTCATACCAGGAGCGTGCGTGAGCTGCACAGGCCGCCAAGGCCCAGGCCATGGAGGCCCTGGCTGAAGGTGCGTGGTTGGCGCTGAGCCGCGCTGTGTGGGCTTGCTGTGTGCGCTGTGCGTGCTGATACCAGGAGCGTGCGTGAGCTGCACAGGCCGCCAAGGCCCAGGCCATGGAGGCCCTGACTGGAGGTGCGTGGGTGGCCCTGAATGGGTGGCAGCAGATGGGCGATGCGAGCAAGGAGGTGAGCGAGGAGCAGAGGGACGCCGCGCAGGCCGCCAAGTCCCAGGCCATGGAGGCTCTTGCGGAAGGTGCGTGGGTGGTTCTGGGTGGGCTTGCTGTCCGTGCTGATATGACGCCATGAGTGCCTGAGCTGTGTACTGGGAACGTGCGTGCTGTGTGCAGGCTGCCAAGGCCAAGGCCATGGAGGTTCTCGCAAAGGGTGCGCAGATGGCACTGGGTGCGCGGATGGCACTGGGTGCGCGGATGGCACTGGGTGCGCGGATGGCACTGGGTGCGCGGATGGCACTGGGTGCGCGGATGGCACTGGGTGCGCTGCGCTCGCAGTGCGTGCTGTCTATATACCAATACCATGAGTGGCGCATTTGCTCCTCCCGCCCACCAATTCCTTCCTCCCCACTTCACCCTTCGCCCTTTCGCCACCCCCTGTGCAGCCGTGCCCATTAGCCAACCTAGAGGCAGCAGTGACTTGTGAGTCGACTGAAAAGTCACCTCATTAGCCAACCTAGAGGTAGCAGTGACTTTTGAGTCGACTGAAAGGTCACCTCATTAGCCAACCTAGAGGCAGCAGTGACTTTTGAGTCGACTGAAAAGTCACCTCATTAGCCAACCTAGAGGCAGCAGTGACTTTTGAGTCGACTGAAAAGTCACCTCATTAGCCAACCTAGAGGCAGCAGTGACTTTTGAGTCGACTGAAAAGTCACCTCATTAGCCAACCTAGAGGCAGCAGTGACTTTTGAGTCGACTGAAAAGTCACCTCATTAGCCAACCTAGAGGCAGCAGTGACTTTTGAGTCGACTGAAAAGTCACCTCATTAGCCAACCTAGAGGCAGCAGTGACTCATCTTCTTTTCCCACCATTTCCGTCCTGCCCACTCCCCCCCCCTCCTTCACCCTCCCCGGTTGGTCCCACCCCACCCCCCCTTCATGCCCCGCTGCGCCCATCAGACAACCTAGAGGCGGCAGTGGCGCATCTCACACAGGCCATTCTCAACAACCCCACCTCTGCGCTGCTGTACGGCGGCACCTTTGTAGCACCTCAAACACTCCATTCCTCACCCTCTCCTGTTCACCCGCCCCCATTCATGCCCCGCTGCGCCCATCAGACAACCTAGAGGCGGCAGTGGCGCATCTGACAGAGGCCATTCTCAACAACCCCACCTCTGCGCTGCTGTACGGCAACCGAGGTGAGTTGCTAGCTGAAAGCAGGATTTTCCCAGCTGAGGGGTGTATGGCAAGCCAGGTGAGCGCTGCTGAGGGGTCTATGGCAAGCCAGGTGAGCGCTGCTGTGTTTCCTCCTCGCCTGGTCTCTAGATGCTGTGTGCATCAGTGAGCTTTCTCAATCCCTTTCCACCCTTTGTCACCTCCTCCGCTTCGACTCGTTCTGCAATTTCGGCCCCTTTCACTCCCTTCCACCCCCTTCTAACCCTTTCCAACCCCTTCCACCCCCTTCGAACCCCTTTCAACCCCTTCCACCCCTTTCCACCCCCTTCCACCCCCTTGTACCGCTTGTCGTGCACAGCTGGGGTGTTTGTGCGCATGAAGAAGCCCAATGCTGCCATTCGGGACTGTGACGAGGCTCTCAAGGTGAGTGAGAAAGAGAGTGAGTGAGTGAGAAAGAGAGTCAGTGAGTGGTGAGTGAGTGGTGAGTGAGTGAAAGAGTGAGTGTGGAACGATCTTACAGGTGCTCACCTTGTGCTTTTTCTAAGTTACATGGAACCCAGGGCGCACCGCCTGTAGGAGCACCAGCAGCTGTTTCTCGACCCATCTTGCCTCCTCGCTCCCTCCCTCTGCTTTCATCGATCCGGTTCCCTTCCCGGACGATCCGGTTCCCCGTCCGGATGGTCCGGTTGATCCGGTTCCCGACCCGGTACCCCGCCCGGTTCCCCACCCGGATGGTCCGGTTGGTCCGATTCCCCACCCGGTCGATTCGGCACCCCACCCGGATGACCCGGATGATATGGTTCCCCGTCCGGATGGTCCGGTTGATCCGGTTCCCGAACCGGCACCCAACCCGGTTCCCCACCCACTGAGGTGACTTTTGAGTCGTCTCAAAAGTCGCCTGTAGGAGCACCAGCAGCTGTTTCTGGACCCATCTTGCCCCCTCACTCCCTCTGCTCCTCACTGCCGATCCCTTCCAGCTCAACCCTGATTCCGCCCGCGCCTACAAGTCCCGGGGAGAGGCCAAGGCCCTGCTCGGGCAGTGGGAGGCGGCAGCAGCTGACCTGCGCCTGGCCTCCCGCCTGGACTATGACGAGGAGGTGAACTCGTTCCTGAAGCTCGTGGAGCCCAAGGCACACCGCCTGGAGGAGCACCGGCGCAAGTACGACCGGCTGCGGAAGGAGCGCGAGGAGCGCGTGGCGGCCAAGGAGAGGCAGCGGCGCAGGAAGGCGGCGCAGAAGGCGTATGAGGAGGAGAAGAGGAGAGAGGAGGAGCGGCACAAGGCGTCCAGAGGGGCTGGGGGCGGTGGGGGGTTCCCTGGGGGTTTCCCAGCGGGAATGGGGGGTATGCCCGGGGGGTTCCCTGGAGGAATGGGGGGTATGCCGGGGGGTTTCCCAGGGGGGATGCCAGCAG